TTCTTGGCAACAGGGGCACACTGTTGACTCCTATCCAGCTTCTCGTCCACTGTAACCCCTAGGTCCTTTTCTGCCCAACTGCTGTCTAGCCATTCGGTCCCTAGTCTGTAGCGGTACATGGGATTCTTCCGTCCTAAGTGCAGGACTCTGCACTTGTCCTTGTTGAACCTCATCAGATTTCTTTTGGCCCAATCCTCCAATTTGTCTAGGGCCCTCTGTACCCTATCCCTACCCTCCAGGGTATCTACCTCTCCCAGTTTAGTGTCATCTGCAAACTTGCTGAGAGTGCAATCCACACCATCCTCCAGATCATTTATGAAGATATTGAACAAAACCGGCCCCAGAACCGACCCTTGGGGCACTCCACTTGATATCGGCTGCCAACTAGACATGGAGCCATTGATCACCACCCGTTGAGCCCGACGATCTAGCCAGCTTTCTATCCACCTTATAGTCCATTCATCCAGCCCATACTTCTTTAACTTGCTGGCAAGAATACTGTGGGAGACCGTACTTCCCCCGATCGCCATGAGTTTTCAAAGATAATGGCCAATGGCTCTGCAATCACATCCGCCAACTCCTTTAGCACTCTCGGATGCAGCGCATCCAGCCCCATGGACTTGTGCTTGTCCAGCTTTTCTAAATAGTCCCAAACCGCTTCTTTCTCCACAGAGAGCTGGTCACCTTCTCCCCGTGCTGTGTTGCCCAGTGCAGTAGTCTGCGAGCTGACCTTGTTCGTGAAGACAGAGGCAAAAAAAGCATTGAGTACATTAGCTTTTTCCACATCCTCTGTCACTAGGTTGCCTCCCTCATTCAGGAAAGGGCCCACACTTTCCTTGACTTTCTTCTTGTTGCTAACATACCTGAAGAAACCCTCCTTGTTACTCTTGACATCTCTTGCTAGCTGCAACTCCAGATGTGATTTGGCCTTCCTGCTTTCACTCCTGCATCCCCGAGCAATATTTTTATGCTCTTCCCTGGTCATTTGTCCAATCTTCCACTTCTTGTAAGCTTCTTTTTTGTGTTTAAGATCAGCAAGGATTTCACTGTTAAGCCAAGCTGGTTGCCTGCCATATTTACTATTCTTTCTAGAATTAAATATGCTTGCTTTAAAACTGTGTATTATATTTACAGAGGTACACTCACCAGAGGTGCCTTCTCCACCTTCAAGGTCTGGGAGCCCGGGCTGGGAGGGTACTGTCTCCAGGGTGATAAACAGTTCCTGGCTGCCAGGGAAAATGGTTTCTCCACTTGCCTGACGTGTGCTATCTTCAACCTCCCCCTCCTCATCATCTTCCTCGTCCCCAAAATCCTCATCCCTGTTGTGTGAGAGTCCTTTGCAGGAGTCCATGTACAGGTGTGGGGTAGTTGTAGGGGCACCCCCTAGAATGGCATGCAGCTCATCATAGAAGCGGCATGTCTGGGGCTCTGACCCTGAGTGGGCGTTTGCCTCTTGGGTTTTTTGGTAGGCTTGCCTGAGCTCCTTAAGTTTCATGCGGCACTGCTGCGGGTCCCTGCTATAGCCTCTGTCCTTCATGCCCTGGGAGATTTTTTCAAATATTTTGGTATTTCGTCTTTTGGAATGGAGTTCTGATTCATCTCCCCATACAGTGATCAGATCCAGTACCTCCCGTTCAGTCCATGCTGGAGCTCTTTTGCAATTCTGGGACTCCATGGTCACCTCTGCTGATGAGATCTGCACAGTCACCTGTGCTGATCAGTTTGCCACGCTGGCCAAACAGGAAATGAAATTCAAAAGTTCACGGGGCTTTTCCTGTCTACCTGGCCAGTGCATCTGAGTTGAGAGTGCTGTCCAGAGCAGTCACAATGGAGCACTGTGGGATAGCTCCCGGAGGCCAATACCATCTAATCATGTCCACACTAACCCAAATTCGACCCGGCGACATCGATTCAGCGCTAATCCCCTCATTGGGGAGGAGTATAGAAATCGATTTTAAGAGCCCATTAAGTTGACAAAAATGGCTTCGTTGTGTGGACGGGTGCAGGGTTAAATCAATCTAATGCTGCTAAATTTAACCTAAACTCATAGTGTAGACCAGGGCTCAGACATGCCAATGGTCAGATCTGCCCTCCTGAGGCCCAGCAATGGGCTGGAGGTGGGGGTCCAGTACCTCTTATATCAGGATTGTGCACCAGCCCAAAGAAGGCTAAATGCATCCCTGTGTCTCCACCCATCCTGTTAGCCCATTAGCGCTAAGGGGGGGCGTTCGGCGCGGTGCCGAGCCGTGTTGGCCAACGCCCCATTAGCGCTCAGGGGGGGCATTCGGCACGGTGCCGAGCCGTGTTGGCCAACGTCCCGTTAGCGCTAAGGGTGGGCGTTCGGTGCGGTGCCGAGCCGTGTTGGCCAACGCCCGGGTGCATGGCTTTACTCCTGCTTCACACCACCAGGGTTGTACTGAGCTATTTGCAAACAGTGACAGACTGCGATGTGCTGCCACACCCTAGGCTTGTGAATACCTTGGGTATTGATCCTAAACCAGTCCTCTGGTCTGCTCACTCCATGTAGGGGAGAAACGTCAACGCTGTCTCATGAGTCCGTCCTACCATTCTTCACTGTGCTCACGCGAACTGCACCTCTCTGAGTGCTCTGCCTGAACCGGTCCCCTCTCATGCCCCCCTAAATATTACCTCCCTGGATACTCACTCTCAAATTCTCCTAACACAAACCGCAGGCTCTTCCCTACATGCTCATCCTACCCTGTTCCCTGGGTGCTCCTGCTGAACATCTCCCTAAGTGTCCACCCCAAACTGCTCGGCCCTTAATGCTCTTCCCTTGGTGTCCATTGTAAAGCTCTCTTCTCAGGTGCACCCCTAAATGATTCCACAATGGTTTCACCCGACATTGTTCCTCTCTGGATGCTCGCCATACCCGGTTTGCCCTACACTGCTCCTCACTTGGTCCTTGCCCTAAACCGTTCTGTGAGTGTTCACTCTAAATATGCATCTGATGAAGTGAGCTGTAGCTCACGAAAGCTCATGCTCAAATAAATTGGTTAGTCTCTAAGGTGCCACAAGTACTCCTTTTCTTTTTGCGAATACAGACTAACACGGCTGTTACTCTGAAACCACTCTAAATTGCTCCATCTCTGGGATTCACTCAAAAAACATTCGTCCAGCATTCACCCTAAAGTGCTGCTCCCCACATGCTCACGCTGAATTATTCCCTGGGTGTTTTCCCTTAATTGCTCCTCCTTGAGTGTTCACCCTAAACCAAGCCATTGGTGTTCATCATAAACCTTCTCAGGTGTGTGCCCTGACCAGTTCCCCGGGCACTCACTCTAAGCCACTCTGCCTAGCAATACGCACCATGAATTGTGCTCTGTGGGTGCCACGCATCTCTACTCCTCCCCCAGTGCTCACCCGAAGTGTCCCCCAGGTGCTCAGCCTAACCTGTTCCTCCTTATGAGTTCCAACTTAAACCTCTCCTGGGGTAACTAGGAGCCAGCTGTGACACACAAGTACCGCTGTTTCCAGCTAAAGCCCTGCTCAGGACTTTTAAATATCCTGCTCCCTCTAGCATGGCAGCGGGTCCTGTCGGACCTATGGGATCCCAGTCCCTCTGCAGGGGTCTACCAATAAGGAAAAGAGCCCATTCACTGAGCCCAGGCAGGGAAACCCAGAAACCTTTATAGGCACTCAAAATACAGGAATAAGGAACAGCACAGCCTAACAGGCCTTAAAGCAGACACGTGCCTGGGGAGGAGCTACGTGGGCCAAGGGTCCCCCAGAAGTGGTGATGCACACGCGCACGTGTGTCTTCGGGCACAGCCCCCGTAGACGTGCACGCGCACGTGTGTCTTCAGGCACAGCCCCCATAGATGCACACGCGCACGTGTGTCTTCAGGCACAGCCCCCATAGACACACACGCGCACGTGTGTTTTCGGTCACAGCCCCTGTAGACGCACACGCGCACGTGTGTCTTCGGGCACAGCCCCTGTAGATGCACACAGAGACTTGGCTCTGTCTGTCTCATGCACACACAAGGGCTTCATGTGTACATGGACACAGGTCCCTGTGTTGCCCAGCTGCGTGGAAATGGGAGAGACGGGACTTGCTCTCTTTGGTGCCGCCTTTGAGTTTCTGGTGCTGCTCACTGTGCAGTGAAGTCCTGTTGCCCACAGGGCCGCCAGCATGTTTCCATTCATGGCCGTACCCTGCTGCATGTCTCTCCCCCCCCCCCCCCCCCCACCATGTGACTTGCATTAGCAGTTTTGCCTCATGTCTCTGAGCTGGCCAGCCAGGCTGCCTCTGACAGGGCCATGAAGGGCCGGGCAGCAAAGCGTTCCCTTAGTGGCAGAGAGGGAGCAGCACAGCTGCGCCAGGAGCGTGTCTCTCCCTGCCAGGATCAGGCTGTAACTCATCTTCTCACAGCTTGTCCAGCTGCTCCTTAAAATAGATGCTCCTGGCTGTGCACAGGGCACAGAGCCCTGTCCTGTGACAGCTGCCCCAAGATTCCAGCAGCTTCAGAGCCCAGCACTGTCTGCTGGCAGAGCAGGCCCTGGCCATCGGCTGCTGTCTGGGCAGGAAGCAGCATCGCAGTGCTGCGCCTGAAAAGGCTTCTGAGCAAACCTGGAGAGAGCTAGCGCCCAGGGCAGGAGCCCCCCAGTGCATTGTGCTCAGGGCAGGTACCACGAGGCGGGGCAAGAGGGTGCTTGTACTGTCTGTTCCCAGTCCCCCCACCGCTCCCGGGGTAAAATTCAGGGGTAAGTGGCCATCAGTGAAACGGACTGAGTGTGACTAAGCACACTGCGCTGCACCCAGGCCAACACAATCCCTGTGGCACATGCTTGTCAGGAGGGAGCAGTGTTTGCAGCTGCACTCCCCACAGGCTCCCCGGTCTGCTCAGACCTCTGACATCACCATCCTGTGAGTGCTGCAGCCTCTGCGGGTGGGCCCGGAGCCCCCTGCACATTCCTCCTCCCTGGCAGGCTCCCTCACCCCGCAGGCTCACCCACTCGTCTCTCTTTTCCCCGCACAGATAAGGCCCAGTGGCAGCTGGAGTACCCCTACTGCGGTGGGCAGATGCAGTCTCCCATCAATATTGACACCAATTCCACAATCTTCAGCCCTGAGCTGCAGCCTGTTGTGCTGGCAGGTTGCAACCTGGACCCCAGTGAGCAGCTCAGCCTAATGAACAACGGACACACAGGTCAGTGGCGGGGCTGAGTCGTGTGTGCTGGGCTCACAGGGCATGGAACTTGCTTCACAGGGTGCTCAGACGAGACAGGATATTTTGAGACATTTCCCATAGATTAGTCCTGGCCTCTTCCAGCAGGGGGCGCTGTGTGGAGTGGGGCAGGAGCACTCACTGTGGGACTCACAGCTACTCCAGCCCCAGCCTCTCCCAACAGGGGGCACCCTAAGGAGTGGCGCAGGGCACTGGCTGTGGGGGGAGCTCCCAGCTGCCCCAGCCTTTCCCAGCAGGAGGAACTGCAGGGAGTGGGGCAGGAGTGCTGGCTGTTGGGGGAGCTTAGGGCTGCCAGGTGTCCGATTGTGGACGGGAACGCCCGGTCGAAAAGGGACCTTGGTGGCTCTGGTCAGCACCACCAAGTGGGCCATTGAAAGTCCAGTTAGCGGTGCTGCTGGGCTAAAGCAGGCTCGACCCTACCTCTCCTGGCACCACGCTGGGCACCACGCTGGGCCCCAGAAGCAGCCAGCAGGTCCAGCTCCTAGGCAGGGGGGCCATAGGGCTCCACGCGCTGCCCCTGCCCCGAGAACCGGCTCCGCACTCCCATTGGCTGGAAACCACGGCCAGTGGGAGCTGGGGGAGTGGTGCCTGCGGGCGAGAGCAGTGAGTGGAGCCTCCTGCCTAGGAGCCGGACCTGCTGGCCACTTCTGGGGTGCAGCACGGTGCCAGGACAGGCAGGGAGCCTGGGGACCCACACCGCGCCACTGACCAGGAGCCGCCGGAGGTAAGCCCTGAGCCCCAGCCCTGAGCCCCAACCCCCTGCCCCAGCCCTGATCCCCCTCCTGCACCCCAAACCACTCATCCCCGACCCCACCCCAGACCCGCAACCCCAGCCAGAGCCCGTCACCCCCTCCCACACCCCAACCCCCTGCCCCAGCCCAGTGAAAGTGAGTGAGGATGTGGGAGAGCGAGCCACTGAGGGAAGGGGAATGTAGTGAGTGTCGGGACAGGGCCTGGGGAAGGGGCGGGACAGGGGGCAGGGCCTTGGGGCAGGGGTGGGGCTAGGGTGTTCAGTTTTGTGCAATTAGGAAGTTGGCAACCCTAGGGGAGCTTTCAGCTACTTCAGTCCCAGCCTCACCCAGCAGAGGCGCTGTGGGGAGCAGGGGGGCAGGAGCGCTGGCTGTGGGGGGAGCTCCCGGCTACTCCAGCCTGGTCTCTCCCAGCAGAGGGGACGCTGTGGGGAGCAGGGGGGCAGGAGCGCTGGCTGTGGGGGGAGCTCCCGGCTACTCCAGCCTGGTCTGTCCCAGCAGAGGGGACGCTGTGGGGAGCAGGGGGGCAGGAGCGCTGGCAGTGGGGGGAGCTCCCGGCTACTCCAGCCTGGTCTGTCCCAGCAGAGGGGACGCTGTGGGGAGCAGGGGGGTAGGAGCGCTGGCAGTGGGGGGAGCTCCCGGCTACTCCAGCCTGGTCTGTCCCAGCAGAGGGGAAGCTGGTGGGGGAGCAGGGGGGGGGGGGGCGGGGGGGGGGGGGGGCCCGCAGTGTGTAGGAGGGGATGTGGGGGGGGGGCAGGAGCGCTGGCTGTGGGGGAGCTCCCGGCTACTCCAGCCTGGTCAGTCCCAGCAGAGGGGACGCTGTGGGGAGCAGGGGGGCAGGAGCGCTGGCTGTGGGGGAGCTCCCGGCTACTCCAGCCTGGTCAGTCCCAGCAGAGGGGACTCTGTGGGGAGCAGGGGGGCAGGAGCGCTGGCTGTGGGGGAGCTCCCGGCTACTCCAGCCTGGTCTGTCCCAGCAGAGGGGACGCTGTGGGGAGCAGGGGGGCAGGAGCGCTGGCTGTGGGGGAGCTCCCGGCTACTCCAGCCTGGTCTGTCCCAGCAGAGGGGACGCTGTGGGGAGCAGGGGGGCAGGAGCGCTGGCAGTGGGGGGAGCTCCCGGCTACTCCAGCCTGGTCTGTCCCAGCAGAGGGGACGCTGTGGGGAGCAGGGGGGGTAGGAGCGCTGGCTGTGGGGGGAGCTCCCGGCTACTCCAGCCTGGTCTGTCCCAGCAGAGGGGAAGCTGTGGGGAGCAGGGGGGCAGGAGCGCTGGCTGTGGGGGAGCTCCCGGCTACTCCAGCCTGGTCAGTCCCAGCAGAGGGGACGCTGTGGGGAGCAGGGGGGCAGGAGCGCTGGCTGTGGGGGAGCTCCCGGCTACTCCAGCCTGGTCAGTCCCAGCAGAGGGGACTCTGTGGGGAGCAGGGGGGCAGGAGCGCTGGCTGTGGGGGAGCTCCCGGCTACTCCAGCCTGGTCAGTCCCAGCAGAGGGGACGCTGTGGGGAGCAGGGGGGGCAGGAGCGCTGGCTGTGGGGGAGCTCCCGGCTACTCCAGCCTGGTCAGTCCCAGCAGAGGGGACTCTGTGGGGAGCAGGGGGGCAGGAGCGCTGGCTGTGGGGGAGCTCCCGGCTACTCCAGCCTGGTCAGTCCCAGCAGAGGGGACGCTGTGGGGAGCAGGGGGGCAGCAGCGCTGGCTGTGGGGGGAGCTCCTGGTTTTACAGTTCCAGTCTCCCCCAGCAGGCCCCACTGGGGTGCCAGGTCTGGGTAAGCTCTGGGCTCACTGTTCTGCCCCTCCCAGTGAAGGTTCCCTGACTGTCCTAGAGTTTCATAGATTCCTGGATTCCAAGGCCAGAAGGGACCATCAGATCCCGAGTCTGACCTGCTCTGTAGCACACGCCCTTGAATCCAACCACAGTCCCCTGCACTGAGCCCCAGAACTTGTTTGGCTAAAGCAGCTTCCAGAAAGGCAGCCAGGCTTGAAGATGTCAAAGAGTCGGGGAGTCCAGCACTGCCTCTGGCAGTGTGCGCCAGGTGTTAATCACGTAAAAACATTCTTCCAAATTTGTGCCTGATTTCTCATTTGAATTCATGTGGTTTCAGCTCCCAGCCATAGGTTCTTGTTCTGCCTTTCTCTGCTCGAGTAAAGAGCCCTTGGAACCTGTTATTTTCTTTCCAGGAAGGTACTTAGGGCTAAGGTACTTAGGTAAATAAGGGTTTGTGTACATGGGGACACACAGGAAAATTAATCTGAATTAGCCAAAGGTATGAATTTAAAGTGGATTAGTTAAACTGTCTTGAACTCCTGTGTGGATGCTCTTATTCAGAATTAGAGTGGCCTTTTTTCAGTTTTGTTTAGTTCACTTTAATTCTGATTCAGAGTGTCCACGTAGGGGTTTAATATGATTTAACTAATCCACTTTAAACGTTAGTTTCCTGAGTGTTCCTGTGTTGTAGACAAACTCTACACCATAATCAAGTCACCTCTCAATCTCCTTTTTGATTAAACAGATGGAGGTCTCTCACTAGGAGACATTTTCTGTAGCACTCAACTCATTTTTATAGATCTTTTCTTCACCCTCTCTAATTTTTAAATGTGGACCCCAGAACTGGGCGCAAGTTCCAGTATCAGCCTCACCAATGCCTTATACAGGGATAAAAGCACCTGCCTGCTCCTCTGCTATCCCCTATATACACCCCCAAGGATCTCCTTAGCCCCTTGTGCCGCAGAGTTGCACTGGGAGCTCCCGTTGCGTTGCTGGTGCACTGTAACCCCTAAATCCTCTTCTGAGTTGCTGCTCCCCAGGACTGTAAGTGCTGTAGCCCCCGTCTGTAAGTGCAGCCTGGATTCCTTGTTCTTACATGGAGAACTTGGCATTTGGCTGCATTAAAGCACATTTTGTTGGAATGGGCCCAGCTTGGTCTGTGTGGCTGCCCTGTTCTCATCCTTATTGCTCTGCCGATCTTTGTGGCATCAGCAGTGACTTACTGCCAGAGCATTAGTGAAACCGTTGAATAGTGTCAGGCCTTGAACTGATCCCTGCAGAACCTCACTATAGACTCCCCTGATCAGTGAGGATTCCCCATTGGCAGCTGTTTTTTGAGAGCTGTTGGTTAGCTGGGGCATAATCCATTTAACGTGTGCTCTGTTTCTGCTGTATAGTGCTACGGTTTTAACTGCGTGTTGCACTGTACTGAGTCTCAGTGTGTTACATCTCTACCCTTCCCTCTCTCAACCAAACTCCTAACTGCATCAAAGAATGCAATCGGTTTCTTTGCCAAGACTGGTTTCCATTACACCACATTGACTATTTTCGATAACACACATCTCCGCCTGGTGCCAGCGCATGGATCAGAGCCCACCTCCGACTCCTCTCCCGCTTCACTCCCTCTCTCCTGCAGTTGTCCTTCAGCTGCCAGGCTCTCTGACTATTGCCGGCGGCTACCCCCAGGAGCACAGAGCAATGCAGCTGCACCTGCACTGGGGCTCCCCGGCAGGGCCGGGCTCAGAACACACCGTGGACGGACGCCGCTATGATGGGGAGGTAAAGATCCGTCGTGGACCTTCCCCTCTTGCCTGCTGCTCCCCGGGTGTGCCTCAGTTACTGGCGATGATCACATCAGTCCCACCCACTCCAGCTGTCTGCACAGGGTGAGGGCTAGGGCCCTGAGGGGGTTGTGGCACCCCCAGGTCACTGGCTGCCCTTTGTCCACACTGCAGCTCCGTTGGCGGGGAGGTTGCCACCCCTGCCCTCAGTGGAGTGCTCCGACCACGATCTCCGCTCTTGACTCAGACCCTCTCAGGGCACAGGTCAAGTGCCCAGTGCCAGCAACCCAGAGGGAGGAATCCTGCGCTTCGGGCTGAGCAACTGAAATCAAAGCAGAGTTTATGACACAGCCTGAAACATGGAAGCAGAGGGGAAGTGAGGCATGGAAGGGACATTGTGCCAGCAGGGTGGGGGTGGGGAGAGAATAGCCTGGAGCCAGGCACCCGGTGCACAGCGCAGGGACAGACCCACACGGGGAGCACTCACTCTGCGTACAGGATAAACAATCCATACTGCTCTGCAGCCAGACTGCCCTGGCACTAACCAGGTGCTCGGGCCACAGGGAGCCCACCCCCACCTAAGTCCAGGGCCCATCGCAACCCCCTTTAAAATTGCCCGAGAATGTGCCTGGGGGGCACAAACTATCCCAGGGGACCCAGGCCCTAAGGAGGGGTCAACGCAGAGCTCCCAGTGCAGGCTGCCCTGTGCTGGAGGATGATTCATCTTTTCCCCAGAACTCTGGCCCGCTTCTTGGCATGTGAGGGCCGTGATATTCTCTGGGCCTGGGAGTGGGGACAGCTCGCTGTGCCCTCGTCCTTGGCACCAGCCCAGAGCTGTGTGGTCACAGAGATCCTGGGGCTGTTTGCCGCCTGGGTCTGGTTCCTAACTTGTTCTACCCTCCCTCCCCCATTGCTGTTCACACGGAGCCGCCAGGGCCCAGTGCATCAGGGAGGACAGGAGTTGGAGCTGGCTGCCAGCATGCTGCTGTCCCAGCGAGAGGGGCACCAGGGAGACGACCTTGAGCCCTGCCCCATGTGCAGAAAATGGGGGAGGCTGGTGGCAGGGTGGGCTCTTGGGGCAGCAGGGGCTGGCAGCAGCAGCAGTATGCTCAGGTCACCGTAAATGGTTTGGGGAGCTTGCCTGGTGCCAAGTGGGGGGCTCTGGCCAGGTGACCAAGCCCCAGGCGCTGCTAATGGAGAGGCCCTAGTGCTGGGGCTGGCCACACCTGGTTGGGTCACCCTGGGACCAGTGCAGGTCTGGGTGGTCCAGCACTCATCCATGGCACAATGGAGCCTCAGGGGGTTCTGTGCTTTGATTCCAGATCCATATGGTTTATTACAACCCCAGCTATGAGAGCATCAAAGAGGCAATGAGGCAGCCCGGTGGCCTAGCAGTGCTGGCAGCTTTCCTGCAGGTGATGCCAATGGGGGCAGTCACTGGGAAGGTGGGGTGGGGGCAGTGCCAGGCAGGGATGTTCTGATCTCTGGGCTGGGCGTGGCAGGGTAGGCGAGGACTGAGGCAATTCTGGGGTGGAGGGGAATAGGGGCAGTGGAGGGCAGGGGCTCTCCAGGAGGGAGGAATGCCCTGTCAACTGGGCCATGCCAGTGCGGAGATGGGACATGCCCCGATCACCAGGCCATGCTGGTGGTGGGAGGCAGAATGTGCTCTGCACACTGGTCCAGGTGAGGTTAGGGGATGCCCTAATCGCTGGTCAGTGGTAGGGTTCATGCTTTGATCCTGGTCAGGGGGTGGAAGGGCCATGCTGGGGGATGCCCTGACCCCAGCCAAGTCAGTCAGGGAGGTCACAGGTCGATCCTCTGCCTGTGAGAGTGATATTAGTCCCATGTTCGGAGCGATGCTCCCTGCTGTGACCCAGCTGCGGGGGCTCAATAGGCAGGAGACTTGCCCTTCCTGGTGCCTGTGCTCTCACACCTGCTGAGTCTGTGCGTTACAGGTTGGGCCGGAGGACAACGTGCACTATCAGCCTCTGCTTGAGCAGCTGGATGAGATCCAAGAGGAAGGTAAAGCCTTTGCGTGCCTAATGCCCACCATGGGGACAACCCGGGGCAGCGAGTGAGCTGCCTGCTGCATGGAGAGGCTTGTGCATGCCAGACAGAAAGAGGCAGGCAGCTCCTGTGAGACAGACAGACAATGAGTGGCCCGCTCAGCAAAGGCCTTTCAGGGATTCCCGCTCAGCATTTGCATACCTGTCTCATCCCTTGGGATTCTCCGGGCTCCCACTCTGCACCTGTCCCAATGACATGACTTCCCTGGTGCCTTAGGCTTGTCCATCCGGGGCTTGTGCAGACTGGCTGTGCCTGTCCAGTGCATTGTGCTTCTGCAGCGAAACCAGGGGGCAGTTCCCATGCGGCGGAGCAGTCACCGCTCACCGTCTCTGGGGGTTGGCTCCTGGGGACGTGCTGACCAGGATCTTGCTGTCCTGATTCGGATCCCCAGGGGCCTGTGCAGTTCTTGATTGTTGCTGTGCTCTAGTCCGTGGAGCTGTGCTGCTCTAGATCGTGCTGTCTCTCTATTCTAGAGCATGGAGACATGCTGCTCTAGAGCACCGGCAGTATTTTTTCCCTTCTAGGCAAGGAAACGGCAGTGGCTGGGTTCAATATTGAAGGGTTGCTGCCCACCAACCTAGGCCGCTATTACCGCTACAGTGGCTCTCTGACCACCCCTCCCTGCTACCAGACGGTGAACTGGACTGTCTTCAACCAGACGGTGTTGCTGTCCAAGGAGCAGGTCCGTCCGGGGGGTGAGGGCCTGCCTGTTCTCCTCTTGGGCGTGGGTGGGGCTGCCCGCAGGTGGCTCTGCCATGCCTGTCACACTAGGAGCTGCGAGCCAGCACCAGCAACGGTGGGGGTGGCCCGTAGGCAACCGGAGACCACCTGAAGCCAGCCCCCCTTGCACCAGGGCACTGAGTGCTGAATCCTGGCTGCGTTCATGAGGCTCCCAGGGGCGGCTTAGTGACTCCGTTCAACCCTCCCTCTCCAGATCTCGCTGCTGGAGACCACGCTGCAGGGAGACGATGACAAGGATCTGCAGAACAACTTCCGGCTAACCCAGAGCCTGCACGGACGGAAAGTCCTGGCGAGTTTCCAGGCAGCCCTCAGCCCGAGGCGGGTCCCGCTTCCTGGTAAGGAGCCGTGGGATGTGGCTGGCCGGTTCTCTCCTGCATGCCACCTTGACACAGACAAGCCTGGCAGAGCAGAGCAGAATCAGGATGCTGGTGTCCCAGGAAGGAATAGCTCACGTAAGCTAGTATCAGTGAGCGCTGGGCCCACAACAATGCAAGGGGCTCTGTGGGGAGAGGCAGCTTGGTCTCCAGGGCCCACTCTGTCCTGGCCTCACAGCTGACATGCCAGCAGGGCACAAAAGGAATGTGTCTGAACAAATAGTCACAGCAAGTTGTTTGCAGTTTTCGCCAACTCACTTTGGGACCCAGGCGTTTGGGTGCTTCTCTGTGTGTCCCCAGCCCTGCTAGCCAAAGCCAGGCAGGAGCTGCAGGGGAGCCGGGCTCTTTGAAATCCCAGAACACACCCTCCAGGGGTATTTTGTTCCTCCCACTTCTGGGCCTGGCTATGCCTCTGCCCCACTTCTGAAAGAGCTTGGTCAGTTCAGCTTCTTTGAACCCTTCCCTGGAACACCCCTTCCCCAGCTTAGGTGCTTGTCTGAGCTTCCTAAGCACCCATCAGTGGTCTAGGAAAGCCGCAGTCTCACTGCCCCACTTCTGAAGCACTCAACGACTGAGGCTGGGCCAAGCAAGTGGGCCGAGCCCCGGCATGCCTCTGTGTCTCACCCACAGACAAAGCCACCCTGTGCAGGATACAGCTGGTGTGTACCAGGCGATAACAGAACCATTAACAGCCTGTGATACCGCATTGGGTAAACATTTGCCTGGCAGAGCCCCATCATGTGTCCCAAAGTCCTAGTGTTTTGGGCCCAGTTTCAGTTACTGCCTGTAGAGCAGACGATTAACCCACCACCAAGCCGCGTGTGCTGGTGGACGTGCCGGAGCCCCGGCACAGTGAGGGCGGCAGAGGCCTTGGAAATTGCAGTCACTGAGCTCGCCCTTACAGCACATGTCATGCAGGTGAGGGTGGGTTTCAAGGAGAGACAGTGCAGGCGCCCTAGAAAGAGGGGTCACATGCTGTGGGCTCAGCAAGCCCTGGGGATGTCAATCCTGCTGCTGCCCAGCGTGAAGGAGGAACCAGACTCGCTGGAGAAGAACATGTCCCTGACTCTGCCCCACAGGCTCCTTGATGTATCTGCACAGACGTAACACGGCTCCCTGAAGCAGTGAGGAGAGGCAGGTCTGGGTGTCCCACCTCCACAGGGGGATATGATCCCCTCTGTCACGTGGGGGAGCACAAAACCATCAGTGGGCTCTGGCCAGAGCTGCTGCCCCAAACCAGGACGAGCTGAGCCCTTCTCTAACCCCTTAGCTGGGGCTGCTCTCCCACACAGCAGCCTGGGTGCCCCAGGGAGACAGTGTGATTGTTCCAGGACAGCAGGAGGGGACAGGGTGACACGCTAATGGGCTGTTCTTCCTCTACCATCCCAAACATTACCGCTTAAAACAGGCTCTGGAGGGAACGGAGGCTGGGACTCGCAGCCTCACAGGGAGTGGGGCAGAGGAGGGGACTGTAGCACTATGATGGGCCACCGTGCCTCCTTGCCTGCAGTGACCATGGTCTGGCAAGAGCCTCTGCCTTTGGGCAGATGTGGGAAAGGAAATGGGCTGCAGGCCAGGCTGGGGCTGAGCTGCCTCCGGCTGCACGTGAGACCAGGCAACTCGGTGGTGGCACTGAGCATGTCGGCTGTACCAGGAGGCCCTGGTGCTGCACATTGTAAGGGCGGGGCTGGCAAGAGCTGCCCCAGCCATGGCTCCTGGGGTCTGCCCGCCCCTTTCCCAGCCAGGCATTGAGTACCCGGGGCACAGTGCGAGTGATTCGTCTATCACACCCTGGTCAGAGCTTGGCTGCTGCCTTGGGGAATGGCAGAGGACCCTGCAGCTCTGTCCCTGCTAGGTGCTTGCTGGAGTGGGGCAGGGGGGCTGTCTCTCGCGGCCACACCAGCTCCCTCTGTAAGTGCCCTGGTTGAGGGGGCTCGAAGGGCCCCTTGTGATGGTGTCTTGGGGGGGGGGAGCGATGGTTAGCACAGGGCAGTGCGGGTGCCGCTGGGCTTGCTCTGCTCGCTTTGCTGTAGGCGCTGAACCTGCAGTGAGAGCTGAAGCCATTGGTAGCATGGCTGAGGGCCCATTTCCTGTGTGCCTCTTTAATTTCTGCTGGCTGGGCATCCGGGGTTCTGGCCCTCCTGGGGTGGTGCTCATGAGCTTGCACCCTGGTGCAGCATGCACCCACGGGCCAGGGCTCTGCTGGAACAGCTCAGATCCACTGACCCACTCTTGGGCCTCTATGGCTCCCAGAAGTTAAAGGTCCCTGGAGGTGGGGGAGGGAAGTGGCATTAGGCCCAGCTAATGCATCTCTGTTGTCTTTGGGGCAGGTGATGCAGCTCAGAGGGACAGATTCCCTCTGGCAAGTTCCTGGCCCACTGGCTGCTGGGTGGAGAGGTCCACAGGCTCAGTGGGAGGAGGCCCTCCCAGAGCAGCATCCTCTGACTCCGGCCTAGCCCTGGACATCTCTGTCAGGCTATAGCAGGGCGTGGAACTTGGCTTGGGGTTGTGTATGCGGGAGGAAGGTGCCACTTGCTGCAGAGTTCAGGGCTTTCTTCGTGGCAGCCTGCAGTTCAGCATGACTCCTCCAGCCAGGCTGGGCCCAGGTCCCTGATCTGAGCCAGACCCCTGTCTCTGCCACCCAGGTGCTGTGGGCAGTGCCTAGGGCAGGGGTGGGCAAACTATGGCCCAGGGGCCACATCCGGCCCTTCAGATATTTTAATCTGGCCCTCAAGCTCCTGCCAGGGAGCGGGGTTGGGAGCTTGCTCCCCACAGCTCCAGGAAGCAGGGGCATGTCCTCCCTCCGGCTCCTACACATAGGGACAGCTAGGGGACTCCACACACTGCCTCCGCCCCAAGCACCGCCCCTGCAGCTCCCATTAGTCAGCAAATGGGGCCAATGGAAGTTGCAGTGGCGGCGCCTGCAGGCAGGGCAGTGCGCAGAGCCGCCTGGCCGCGCCTCCACGTAGGAGCCAGAGGAGGACATGCCGCTGCTTCTGGGAGCTGCTTGAGGTAAGCGCCGCCCAGAGCCTGCACCCCTGACCCTCTCCCGCACCCCAACCCCCTGCCCCAGTCTGGAGCCCCCTTCTGCACCCTGAACTCCTCATTTCTGGCCCCACCTCAGAGTCCATACCCCCAGCTGGAGCCCTCACTCCCTCCTGCACCCCAACCCCCAATTTTGTGAGCATTAATGGCCCACCATAAAATTTCCATACCCAGATGTGGCCCTCAGGCCAAAAAGATTGCCCACCCCTGGCCTAGGGGCACACGGTCCCAAAGGAAGCCAAGTTCCCGGCAGCGAATCAGGTGTAACCCTTCTGCCTGTCAGAGTTGGCAGCAACAAGGGCCGAGTTCAGTATCTAGGGGTTCCATTCCAATAACACAATGCAAAACCGGCTCGAGCCCCCATCCAGTGACCTGGGACAAATATATACCAACCCCGCTGGGCGCCTCCCAGAGGCAATACTTCCCCTCTCACAAGCACATAGTCTGGGTGTAGCAAAAAGCCTTTTAATAACAGAGAGAAACAATATGGCATTATGTTGGGGAAACATCACCAACAGGATTCATAACACAACCCACGAGCAAAACCCACCCCAAGCAAATTGGGGCATGCCCTTTCCCTTTGGTTCTTGAGTCCAGCAACCCCAAATCACCCAAAGTCCCAAAAGTCCAACGACGCAAAAGTCTCTGTCCCTGGTTAGGGCAGCCCCAGAGTTCAAAAGTTTATCTGCAGAGTTTTAACCTCCCAACTTGGGTGGAGATGGGGGGGGGTGTTAAGGGGCACCTTACGTGGTCCAACACTGATGGCCTCACCTCTCCATGGGGCTCCGCTCTGCCAGCCGCTCTGCTCTGCTCGCCATCCCACAAACTGAACTGCTCCACCAGCCGCTCTGCCCACCGTGCTGCAAATGGCTCTACCATATAGCTTCAGGCTCCCCCACTACTTAACACAACACTCAGTGATTTCAGCTCTTTTGTGATTTCAGCTTGTAGTAGGGGAGCCACAGTGCTGGTGCACCATTAGCCCAAAGTGAATGCAGCTCAGCAGCCTGTAACTAGACTCCTAATGGAATCAAAATTAGCTCTGACATTCCACAGTGGAGAGAGAAGGAAGTGCAATTAGCCTGTAAGGCCCTCCCCAGAGGGCCCATGCCACCAAGTATTAATACCTGTTCCCAGCCTCTCTCAGTTCATAGTTTTGGAACCCATGTCCCTTGTCTAGCGAGTGCTACTTAAAAAGAAAAGGAGTACTTGTGGCACCTTAGAGACTAACCAATTTATTTGAGCATGAGCTTTCGTGAGCTACAGCTCACTTCATCGGATGCATACTGTGGAAAATACAGAAGATGTTTGTTTTTATACACACAAATCATGAAAAAATGGGTGTTTATCACTACAAAAGGTTTTCTCTCCCCCCACTCCACTCTCCTGTTGGTAATAGCTTATCTAAAGTGATCAATCTCCTTACAATGTGTATGATAATCAAGGTGGGCCATTTCCAGCACAAATCCAGGGTTTAACAAGAACGTCTGAGGAAGGGGGGGCAATATGAATAAGAGGCTGCTCGGCAGCTCTCCAACACCACTTTCTACAAGCCATTACCCTCTGATCCCACTGAGAGTTACCAAAATAAACTACAGCATTTGCTCAAGAAACTCCCTGAAAAAGCACAAGATCAAATCTGCACAGACACATCCCTGGAACCCCGACCTGGGATATTCTATCTACTACAGTTATTCTGAAACCTGTCAGAGTGCTACTTAGTTGATGGCGAGTCCCTCCATCATAACAAAAGACCAAGTGCAGTTCCACTGTCCTTGATTCCCATAATCAGGGTAATAACAATTTATTCTTCCTGCCCCAATAACAGAGACACTGGGGATCCCACAGCTACCAAAGTGACCATTTGGGCAGCTATGGCCTCATTCTAGGCGGTGTGGGTGTGCCTATGCAAATGAGATCAGCCCCTGAAGTTCTTTTCCGCAACTTAGAATCATAGAATATCAGGGTTGGAAGGCACCTCAGGAGGTCATCTAGTCCAAACCCCTGCTCAAAGCAGGACCAATCCCCAATTAAATCATCCCAGCCAGGGCTTTGTCAAGCCTGACCTTAAAAACTTCAAAGGAAGGAGATTCTACCACCTCCCTAGGTAATGCATTCCAGTGTTTCACCACTCTCCTAGTGAAAAAGTTTTTCCTAATATCCAACCTAAACCTCCCCCACTGCAACTTGAGACCATTACTCCTTGTCCTGTCTTCTTCTACCACTGAGAATAGTCTAGAACCATCCTCTTTGGAACCCCCTCTCAGGTAGTTGAAAGCAGCTATCAAATCCCCCCTCATTCTTCTCTTCTGCAGACTAAATAATCCCAGTTCCCTCAGCCTCTCCTCATAAGTCATGTGTTCCAGACCCCTAATCATTTTGTTGCCCTCCGCTGGACTCTCTCCAATTTATCCACACCCTTCTTGTAGTGTGGGGCCCAAAATTGGACACAGTACTCCAGATGAGGCCTCACCAATGTCGAATAGAGGGGAACGATCACATCCCTCGATCTGATGGCTATGCTCCTACTTATACATCCCAAAATGCCATTGGACTTCTTGGCAACAAGGGCACGCTGTTGACTCATATCCAGCTTCTCGTCCACTGTCACCCCTAGGTCCTTTTCCGCAGAACTGTTGCCTAGCCGTTCGGTCCCTAGTCTGTAGCGGTGCATTGGGTTTTTCCATCCTAAGTGCAGGACCCTGCACTTATCCTTGTTGAACCTCAGATTTCTTTTGGCCCAATCCTCCAATATGTCTAGGTCCCTCTCTATCCTATCCCTACCCTCCAGCGTATCTACCTCTCCTCCCAGTTTAGTGTCATCCGCAAACTTGCTGAGAGTGCAATCCACACCATCTTTCAGATCATTTATGAAGATATTGAACAAAACCGGCCCCAGGACCGACCCTTGGGGCACTCCACTTGATACTGGCTGCCAACTAGACATGGAGCCATTGATCACTTGCCACACCTCACCACCAGATGTCAGGGTGGAGCTCATCCTGACTCTGCTTACACAGGCAAAGCCGAGCCTAACAGAGACTTGTGCTGAACACACGGGGCACAGCAGTCAGAGCCCTGACTTTACCTGCCTGGCCCCTCATGCAGGGTCCTGCCCCATTAGTGAGGGCTTCGGGCTGGGACGAGCATTCTAGAAAGAGTCTAAAGCTGCCTGCAGGGTGGTCCCAGGGGCAGGGATGGCATGGGCACAGGATTTGGAGTGTCCTTGCCGCAGGAGTTTGAATTCAGTGAGTCTCTGGGCTGCTTACGGGATGAGGGGGAGACTGTGAGGGTTCCTGGGACATTTTTGGATGCGGGTGCGGGGCCAGGGTTGGGCTGTTCCTGGCTTCGGTGCAGTCATTCCAGGGGAGTTGCTGGGTATACCTGGGCTGGGGGGATGGCTGAGGGGTGATCACAGGGGGTGCTGGGAGGCCCCTGGATCATGCGTGTTTGAGTCCCTGTATCTCACCACAGACGGTGGAGTTCCCCCCATGACGCCCGCCCCTGACGGTGCCACAGAGGGAAGCACGGACGAAGCTCCCGGAGCAGGTATCGCTTGCCTCCTGGTGGCTTTTGTTATCCCCTCAGGGGCTGGCTCTGGCTCTGCCCTGTCCGTCTCCCTGCAGCCAGCACAGCTGTGGGGGGCTCCACCTTGTCTGGGCAGAGTCAGAGCCTCTGCTGGGGCTCTGGCCAGAGGCTTCGGGGCTCTGAGGGGCAGCGTGGCCTGACTCTGCTGGTGGCTGGGTGCGGCTGTGGATCTGTGCAGGTTGAGGGCTCCTGAGGGGCAGGGGCTCGGGACTATCTCAGTGGCTGGCTGTGGGGGATGGATGGCTCTGCTCCGGGGGGGGGGGGGGGGGGATGGGGCGGGGTGCTTGCTGGAGGGAGGGGCGTGGGGTGGTCTCAGTGGCTGGCTGTGGGGGATGGGCTCTGCTGTACTAGGTATTCCCAGGGGTCTTTTTGGAGGGTGGGGGGATGGGAGTGTCAGTAGCTAGTTTGTCCCCTGTATCTCAGACTCTTGCTGGCTGGGGTGTTTTGTTTCTTTTAAACACCGTATGGGGGGGTGGGGGGAGAGAGATAGGCCGTGAAGGGCCTTGAAAGGGAAGCAAGGAAGCAAATGTTGGATGTGCTAGAGCCGTGGTTCTCAGCCAGGGGTCCGGGGCCCCCTTGGGGGCTGCGAACAGGTTTCAGGGGGGCCGCCAAGCAGGGTCAGCGTTAGACTTGCTGGGGCCCAGGGCAGAAAGCCGAAGTCCCACTGCATGGGGCTGAAGCCCACAGCCCTGAGCCCCGCCACTCGGGGCTGACGCTGAAGCCTCAGTAATGTAGCTTTGCAGGGGCCCCTGTGGCAGGGGGGCCCCTGTGGCAGGGGGCCCCAGGCAAGTGCCCGGCCTGCTCCCCCCTAACGCCGACCCTGGCTTTTATGTGCAGAAAACCAGCTGCTGTGGCACGGGGGGCCGTGGAGTTTTTACAGCATGTTGCGGGGGGGTGGGGGGGTGAGAACCCCTGTGCTAGAGAAGAGGGTGGCAGGGGAGGGATCTGTGGCCAGAGCGACAGGCTAGGAAATTAGCTTTGCAACAGCATTCCCCATGCATATGAGACACGCGTCAAGACTGGCGCAGTAATGGAGACATGAGCTGACGTGTTCTAGCTTGTGAGTGGATACAAAAGGTCGTATCTTAGTGATGTTATGCAAAAAAAGCTGCAAGACTTAGGCTCAGTCTGGATGTGAGGAACTAGAGAGTGCTCCATGTCAATGATGACACCCCAGTTACAGGCCTGAGTGACGAGCAGGGCTCTGTTGCTGTCCACTGTGGTCAGGAAAGGAGGTAGCGGACTTGTGTTTTGGGGGAGATTAAGAGCTCTGGTTTAGCCGTGTTGCACTTGAGCTGAGGTGAGACTTCCAGGAGGCAATGTCAGCGAGAGAGGCTGAGATGTTAGTGTTCTACAGAGCGAGACTGGTCTGTGAATCACCATCATAGAGCGGGTATTGTGTTTGCAGATGAAATTACTCAGTGCTAGGTGTAGCGGGAGACGAGCCGGGGCCCAAGGCCAGAGCCCTGAGGAACCCCCCAGACAGCTGAAGTGGGACTGAGGGGGAAGTTCAGAAGGACTCGTTGTAGGAGCAATTGGAGAGGTGGGAAGAGACTCAGCGAAGGGCAGTCACACAAGCCAAGGCAGGACAAGACTTCAAGAAGAGCATGGGCGACTGGGTGGCAGGCAGCTGACAGGTCAAGGCGGATGGGTCTGTGTCGGCTAAGAGGTCATGACAGACTTGGGTGAGTGTGAAGCGCAAGGAACAAGAGCCAGAGTGGAGCGGAACGCCAGCCAGCGAGCGTAAACCTTGTGTCCTGTGGCCTTAGAACTGAAAGGGAACTGAGCTTGTTTGTTATGATGGGAGAAACTAAAGCATGCCTGCCGGCCATGGGAAGGTGTTGTCACAGAGGGGCATGCCCCAGAGACCAGTAAGCGGTTACGGAGAATGGTAAAGGAGGAAATGAGAGTGGCACAAGGGAGCAGATGGTCCTGGGGATCGCGGAGGCAAGCAGATGAGAAATTTCTGCCTCTGTTCTCAGGGAGAAGGTGGCGAGAGCTGTAGGAGGCAAAGGGAAGGCAAGCCGAGAGGGGGAAGGTCACGTTATAGTTTGTCAATCTGCTCTTGGAAGGAATTGCTGCATTCCTTTGTGGAGAGAGCAGCGGAGGCAGGAGGAGCAGAGGGTTTGAGGAGTGACTCAAATGTGGCAAAAAGAGGGCTGGGACTGTGGGGGTGCGACTCAGGTAAGGTGGAGACGTAGCGTCGTTTAGCAAGGCTGCTGGCAGAGCTGAAAGAGGCGAGAACATAAGAAGGGCCCTACTGGGTCAGACCCAAGGTCAATCCAGCCCAGGATCCTGCCTGCTGACGGTAGCCAATGCCAGGTACCCCAGAGGGAGCGAACAGAACAGGGAATCACCAAGTGACCCATCCCCTGTTGCCCATTCCCAGCGTCTGGCAAACAGAGGCTAGGGACACCATCCCTGCCCATCCTGGCTCATAGCCATTGATGGACCTATCCTCCATGAACTTATCTAGTTCTTTTTTGAACCCTGTTATAGTCTTGGCCTTCACAACATCCTCTGGCAAGGAGTTCCACAGGTTGACTGTGCGCTGAGTGATGAAATACTTCCTTTTATTTGTTTTAAATCTGCTGCCCATTCATTTCATTTGGTGACCCCTAGTTCTTGTGTTATGAGAAGTAGTAAACAACACTTCCTTATCTACTTTCTCTACACCAGTCATGATTTTATAAACCTCAATCATAGCTCCCCTTAGCTGTCTCTTTTCCAAGCTGAAAAGTCCCAGTCTTATTAATCTCTCCTCATATGGAAGCCGTTCCATACGCCGAATCATTTTTATTGCCCTTTTCTGAACCTTTTCCAAGTCCAATATAACTTTTTTGAGATGGGGTGACCACATCTGCACGCAGTATTCAAGATGTGGGTGTACCATGGATTTATATACAGGCAACATGATATTTTCTGTCCTATTAGCGATCCCTTTCTTAATTATTGCCAGCATTCTGTTTGACGGCCGCTGCACATTGAGTGGATGTTTTCAGAGACCTATCCACAATGACTCCAAGATCTCTTTCTTGAGTGGTAACAGCTAATTTAGACCCCATCATTGTATATGTATAGTTGGGATGATGTTTTCCAAAGTGCATTACTTTGCATTTATCAACATTAAATTTCATCTGCCATTTTGTTCCCAGTCACTCAGTTTTGAGAGACCCTTTTGTAGCTCTTTGCAATCTGCCTGGGTCTTAACTATCTTTAGTAGTTTTGTATCAGATTTGTAATGGCCTGCCTCGCTTGGATGCTTAGAGTATTTCTGGATTTCCAGGGCTCCATGATGGAGTTTTAGGCTATTCCTTGATTCAGAGCGAGGGTTGCGGGTGGCCCTTGGCTGGAAAAGCCCCTCCCCCCCAGACTGTGCATGTTCGAGTCCCCTGTAAGCTCATCCCAGATGGCAGCGATCCTCCTGTGACTCCTGCCCCTGAGGATGCTGCAGGGAGAAGCACGGACAAAGCACCCGAAGAAGGTACTGCTCCCTTTGGTGGCTGGAACTGGTTCTTCCATCTCTGTGCTTCCTACCTGCTTGCAGCCAGCACAGCTGCTGGGAAGGGCTCTCCTTGGGCCAGTCGGAGTCGGAGCCTCTGCTGGGGTTCTGGGCTTGATGGGCTTTGGTGCTGGGATTGTCTTGTGTTGGGGTTTGGCTGGAGGGCCGTCCTAGCCTGGGCTCTGGTGGTGGTTGGGGAATCATAGAATCATAGAATATCAGGGTTGGAAGGGACCTCAGGAGGCCATCTAGTCCAACCCCTTGCTCAAAGCAGGACCGATCCCCAATTAAATCATCCCAGCCAGGGCTTTGTCAAGCCTGACCTTAAAAACTTCTAAGGAAGGAGAAAAGGAGTACTTGTGGCACCTTAGAGACTAACCAATTTATTTGAGCATGAGCTTTCGTGAGCTACAGCTCACTTCATCAGATGTATACCGTGGAAACTGCAGCAGACTTTATATACACACAGAGAATATGAAACAATACCTCCTCCCACCCACTCCACCACCTCCCTAGGTAACGCATTCCAGTGCTTCACCACCCTTCTAGTGAAAAAGTTTTTCCTAATATCCAACCTCAATCTCCCCCACTGCAACTTGAGACCATTACTCCTTGTTCTGTCATCTGCTACCACTGAGAATAGTCTAGATCCATCCTCTTTGGAACCCCCTTTCAGGTAGTTGAAAGCAGCTATCAAATCCCTCCTCATTCTTCTCTTCCGTAGACTAAACATCCCCAGTTCCCTCAGCCTCTCCTCATAAGTCATGTGTTCCAGTCCCCTAATCACTTTTGTTGCCCTCCGCTGGACTCTTCCCAATTTTTCCACATCCTTCCAATAGTGTGGGGCTCAAAACTGGACACAGTACTCCAGATGAGGCCTCACCAGTGTCGAATAGAGGGGAACGATCACGTCCCTCGATCTGCTGGCAATGCCCCTACTTATACATCCCAAAATGCCATTGGCCTTCTTGGCAACAAGGGCACACTGTTGACTCCTATCCAGCTTCTCGTTCACTGTCACCCCTAGGTCCTTCTCTGCAGAACTGCTGCCGAGCCATTCGGTCCCTAGTCTGTAGCGGTGCATGGGATTCTTCCGTCCTAAGTGTAGGACTCTGCACTTGTCCTTGTTGAACCTCATCAGATTTCTTTTGGCCCAATCCTCCAATTTTTCTAGGTCCCTCTGTATCCTATCCCTACCCTCCAGCGTATCTACCACTCCTCCCAGTTTAGACTCTTCCCCCTCATGTTATTCTCCCAGGGGATCCTGCCCATCAGTTCCCTGAGGGAGTCAAAGTCTGCTTTTCTGAAGTCCAGGGTCCGTATTCTGCTGCTTTCCTTTCTTCCTTGTGTCAGGATCCTGAACTCGACCATCTCATGGTCACTGCCTCCCAGGTTCCCATCCACTTTTGCTTCCCCTACTAATTCTTCCCGGTTTGTGAGCAGCAGGTCAAGAAGAGCTCTGCCCCTAGTTGGTTCCTCCAGCTCTTGCACCAGGAAATTGTCCCCTTCACTTTCCAAAAACTTCCTGGATTGTCTGTGCACCGCTGTATTGCTCTCCCAGCAGATATCAGGGTGATTGAAGTCTCCCATGAGAACCAGGGCGTGCGATCTAGTAAGTTCTGCGAGTTGCTGGAAGAAAGCCTCGTCCACCTCATCCCCCTGATCCGGTGGTCTATAGCAGACTCCCACCACAACATTACCCATGTTGCTCACACTTCTAAACTTAATCCAGAGACTCTCAGGTTTTTCTGCAGTTTCATACTTGAGCTCTGAGCAGTCATACTGCTCCCTTACATACAGTGCAACTCCCCCACCTTTTCTGCCCTGCCTGTCCTTCCTGAACAGTTTATATCCATCCATGACAGTACTCCAGTCATTTGAGTTATCCCACCAAGTCTCTGTTATTCCAATCACATCAAAATTCCTTGACTGTGCCAGGACTTCCAGTTCTCCCTGCTTGTTTCCCAGGCTTCATGCATTTGTGTATAGGCACTTGAAATAACTCGGTGATCGTCCCTCTTTCTCAGTATGAGGCAGGAGCCCTCCCCTCTCACGCGCTCCTGCTCGTGCTTCCTCCCAGTATCCCGCTTCCCCACCTACCTCAGGGCTTTGGTCTCCTTCCCCCGGTGAACCTAGTTTAAAGCCCTCCTCACTAGGTTAGCCAGCCTGCTTGCAAAGATGCCCTTCCCTCTCTTCGTTAGGTGGAGCCCGTCTCTGCCTAGCACTCCTCCTTCTTGGAACACCATCCCATGCTCAAAGAATCCAAAGCCTTCTCTCCGACACCACCTGCGTAGCCATTCGTTGACTTCCACGATTCGACGATCCCTACCCCAGCCTTTTCCTTCCACGGGGAGGATGGACGAGAAGACCACTTGTGCCTCAAACTTCTTTATCCTCCTTCCCAGAGCCACGTAGTCTGCAGTGATCTGCTCAAGGTCATTCTTGGCAGTATCATTGGTGCCCACGTGGAGAAGCAGGAAGGGGTAGCGATCCGAGGGCTTGATGAGCCTCGGCAGTCTCTCCGTCACATCGCGAATCTTAGCCCTTGGCAAGCAGCAGACTTCTCGGTTTTCCCGGTCAGGGCAGCAGATAGATGACTCAGTCCCCCTGAGGAGAGAATCCCCGACCACCACCACCCGCCTCCTTCTCTTGGGAGTGGTGGTCGTGGAACCCCCAACCCTAGGACAGTGCATCTCATGTGGGTTGTGTGTGTGGAGGTCTCTCCCGTGCTGGAAGGGCCCTGGGCTCTGGCAACGGCTAGTGGGGGGGAATGGGACAGTTTCTCTGGAGTGGGAGGGGCTCTAGGTACATGGGCACTGGAAGAATAAACAACATTCGCACTTTGTCCATGAAGCACTTTCAGGCTGTTTGGGCTTTCTGGGCTCTGGGCACTTCCCCTGCACACACCCTGAATTCCAGTGCCTGGTGCCACACGCTTGAACTCCTGGTCTTGGCCTTCAAGGCCCTTTATCACTTGAAGGACTCAGCGATTATGGCAGATGTACACTGGCGCAGGAGTGCCCCGCGTGATGGTAACAAACCCTGATCCTTGCCTGCCGGGGGGTTCTATTACCTCTGCACATGGCATTGCTGAACACTCTGTCCTGCTCCGGAGGCCGCACTTCAAAGGGAATGTTGAAAAATAGGAAAAGGTTCAGGACAGAGTGGTGAGTGTTCAAGATTTGGAAAAGCTGCTTTGGAATGGAGACTAAATGAACTCCATCTATTTAGTTTAGCCACGAGAAGGCTAAGAGGTGACTGATCACATTCTACAATTACATCCATAGGGAAGAGATGCCTGCTAACAAAGCGCGCTTAATTCTACCAGACAAAGGCAGAACAAGCTCCAATGGCTATCAGCTGCAGCTAGACAAATTCAGACTAGAAATAAGGCACAAATATTTAGCAGTGAGAGTGATTGTGCCACTATTTAATGGTGTGTGACTGTTTGAAAAGGTTAAACAGAATGACCCAGGTAACTACAGGTTTGTCAGGCTGATGTTGTCCCTGGACAAAATAATGGGACAGCTGATATAGGACTTGATTAATAAAGAATTAAAGGGGGTGGGTGTAATATAATTAATGCCAAACAAAATGCGTTTATGGAAAATAGATCTTGTCAAATAAATGTGCTATTTTTTGATGAGATTACATCAAAGGTAAGTACTGATGATGCAATAGCCAGACTTCTGTATGGGATTTGACTTGGTACCACAGGACATTTTGATTAAGAAATTAGAATGATATACAGTTAATATGGCACACAGCTGGATTCAAAACTGGTTAACTTTTAGATCTCAAAATGTAATTGGGAATCATCAAACAGGTGGGTTGTCAGTGGGGTCCTACAGTCATCAGTTCCTGGCCTTATGTTATTTAACATTTTTATCAGTTACCTAGAAGAAAATGTAAAATCATCACTGATAAAGTTTGACACAAAAATTGGTGGGGCAGTGGTAAACAGTGAGGAGCACAGGTCACTGACACAGGGATCGGGATTGCTTGGAACCTGGGCGCAAGCAAACAGTATGTGTTTTAATATAGCCAATGTAAACTTATACATCTAGCAACAGAAAAATACAGGATCAAAGACTGCAGCCTGTACATACGGGACAGGGGCCTCAATCCTGGGAAGCAGTGACTCTGGAAAAGCCTTGGGGTTGTGGTGGATAATCAGTATTTCCCAAGCTGTGTTGCTAGCTGGGTTTTGGCACAGTTTCTGTATGGATGTCCAGCATCCTGTGTGGGCAGCGGGAGTCTCTCGGGAAAGGAGGAAGGGGGCTCTGTGCTCTGTCAGAGGCTAGATTGGTGATGGTCATGGCCAAAGGACTGTCGACCTCCCCTCGCTCCCCCAAGGCGGGGGCGGGGCCGAGGGTCTCCCAGTGCAATTCTGTGTGTGATGAGGGCATTGTTGAGGGTGAGAGACGCTGCTGGTTGGGCTCTGGGTTTTCCTGAACTGGAAATTGGTGGGGTGCGGTTAACAAAGCACCGGAGACCCAGGAAGAAATGGAGCAGAGGCCAAGCCCCGGGAGCAGCTGAGCCATGCTGAAGGACTGACTAGCTGGGTTTAGAGCAGCTGCGTTGCTCTGGCTGGTTCGGTGCAGAGTGGGCGAGTGTCCCTGTTGGAGGGGGAGGGGCAACCATGGGGGGCGGGCATTCGCAGCTCTGCTGGGGGGCAGGGACTCTTCAAAGTTGTTTTACCAAAACCAAATAAAAGGGGGCAGAGGGGCTGTGATGGGACACGCCTGCCCATTGCTGCAGTCAGCCCCCTTCTCTCTCTCTCACCGCCCTCCCCCACGGCCTGCTCACCATGTTGCATCTGTTGCAGGTGCTGGCTGCCCACCATGCGGAGGTAAGAGCTGGGCCCAGGCCCCACACCCCAAGGATGGGGCAGAGGCGAAAGAATTGGCAGGCATCCCCTTAACACCAGCTTGTCGTGGGAGGGCACCAGGGTTAGCCGCCAGGCCAGGGCAGTACCAGTATGGGGGGTGGTACCTGCTTCCTTAAGGCACACCATGCTGGGAGGGGTTGGGGGAGTGGGAAATGTGTCCACGGGGTGACACGAGTTTACATTTTGGGGGGGGGGAGTTGGCTGTGTGCCAGGAAAGAGCCTGGCACTGCACATGGGGGTGGGGGGTACACACACAGATTGGGTGGGTAGATGCAGATTTCAGTGACCACATGCTGGGATGTGTGGGGGGGTCAATGTTCCCTCTAATTTCTGACAGGCTGTATGCACAAAAAATGTCTTATGTGCAAATTGTTGTGCTTCTGTGCAAATGTTTGTGTGCATGGTGTCTCGCTGTGTGCACGGGGTTTAGTATCTGTGCGCGCGTGCACCCATGCACAGCTTAGAGCGAACGGGGGGGGGAGTGGGGGGCTGCACACTGGGCTAGAATGGGGATGGGACAAGGCTGCACACTGGGCTCGGATGGGGGGCAGGCTTGGTGGCTGCGTGCTGGGATGTGGGGATGCGATGGCGGGACAGTGGGCTGGGGCACAGGGGGTGGGTGGCTTTGGCACCTGTCCCCGCCCAGCCTCACCTGCTGTCTCTGTGTCCTCCCCCCCGCATGTTTCATGTTTAGATTCAGAAAACCAGCTGGGCCTCTCCCTGCAGACAGGTGAGTGCTGCAGGATGGGCTGCCCTGGCCTCCCTGCCAATTCCTTGCCCTAGGGCCACCTAGCTTCTGCTGCCTCGACCTCCTGCCCCGGGCCACCCGGCCTCCCCCAGCCTGGGGCTACCCATCTTCTGTCACCTCCATCCCTTGCCCTGGCTCTCCTGGCCTCTCCCTGCCCCTGTGCTGTGGCACCAGCTTCCTCCTCCCCTCCCTGGGAGCAGCGCTTGGCTTGGTCCCACTCTCCCAGGCCTTGAGCTCTCCCTCCCCCTCCCCCTCTGTGTCTGGTACCTCACCCCCCCCCCTTGCTCTCCTGTGTCTGCAGCGGACGTGCTGGCTGGTCTCTTTGGGGTTCTCTTTGCAGTCACGGCTCTGGCCTTCCTCATCTACATCCACAAGCAGCGGAGCCAGAACACAAGGTGAGAGCTGGGAGCCACCGGCATGCTCCACGCCCCGCTGCCTGGATGCGGGAACCACACCCCGACCCTTCTCCCTCCCTCTGTCCTGAACCCCCATTCAATTTACGATTCTCCCTCGCTGCCCCCACCACCCCCAGCCAAGTTCCCCTTCCCCCCTGTGCCCTACCCTGCAAAGGCTGGGAGAGTCGCAGCTCACCTGGCACAAGCCACTCCCGCGTGTAGGGAGAGTGCCCAGAGGCCGGGGGGTGTGAGTGGGGAGAACCTGCCCCATAACGCAGAAGGGGGGGCTGCCAGGGAGTTGCAGGCGATCGGTCCTTTCTCAGCTCATTCCAGGGCTCCCTGACGCCCCAGTGTTCTCCCTTCCCTGCAGGCCGGACTCTCACCCCAAGCCCAACGTCATCTACACAGCAGCCACCACAGATGAGAATGCGGTGTAGGCAGGGCCCCTGCTGCCCAGCGAGGGCCTCTGGCACACGGAAGGGAGACCAGCACACGCACCCTTGGGCTCTGCTGGCTGGACCCTGCCACTCACAGCCAGCCAAGCACGCCCTCCCTCCCCACCAAGGGGCCAGAGCAGCAGGGGCCCCTTCTCTGGGGCCTTCACTCCTTGAGGCCCGGTTACCTGCACTGAGGCTCAGCAGAGACTGAGGGGAAAAACTCTGCCCCTTTCACAGATACTTTTTTTAAAGATACAATAAAATCAATGAAATAGAAACCTATTGCTATGCCAGCCCTGCCTCTGCTGCAGGAGCTATCTCCCCTGGGGGCCAGGGCCCCTCCCACCATTGCAGTGATGGCCCTGCCTCTGCTGTGGGATCGCCCCAGGCAGATACACCAGGCCAGGGCTAGGAAGCACCCCTGTGTGGGACCAGCTGCCCTCAGCAGCACAGTGGATGGCTCCAGCTAGAGCAGCCAGGAAGCCCCAGAAAAGGATGCTGCAGCTGGGCTTTGCCTTCCTGTCCCGCCTGAGCACTCATGTAGCTACTCTGGCCCACACCCCCGCCAGTGGATTCATTCTTAGTGCACCTTGGGCTGAGCAGCAGGAGAAGTCATTGCCATGGGGCCTGTCACAGGTGGGAGGGGGGGTCCCATGGCCTCTGGCCTGCCCCCAGGGGCTCAGCAGCCAGACACCCTGCATGCAGCAGTAGAGGCTAGACAGCCACTGCCCAGCTTCTTGTGACCCTCCAGCGGGGTTCGTTACTGTGCCAGCCTGGAGCCCAGCATCCACCTGGCAGCATCCAACCAGCGCCCCACTCACCCATTCGATGCCGGTGCCACGTGCCGTGGTACTGGCAGACACCTAGTGGCCATGTGGAGTCCCTGCACCATTTCTGTAAAACACGGACCCAAGGGAAACAACACACACACTCCCCTCCCAAGGACAGTGGCAGTGTGGTCCAGTGGATACAGCACTGGACCAAGGCTCAGAACAGCTGGGTTCTGTTCCAGGTTGCCCCACTGGCCTGTTGGGTGACCGTACACAAGTCAATTCCATGCCTGTGCCTTGGTTTCCCCAGCTGTAAAACAAGGATAATGACCCTGCCCCTACACGTGAAATGTTGCATACGAGCTGGGTATCACCCCAACTTCCCACTCCCAGCATGGCAGATGCACCGCATGTGCAGGACCCATCCCATCCCCCACAGCCACACACAAATTCTCTCTGAGGCTGGTATTTCTCTTTATTGATATAAAAGCCCATTACAAACTCAGTCAGTCTTGGCTCTCTGCCCTGGTGCCTCTGCATGGCTTCTGGGTCCCTGCTCCCAGTTCCACCTCACATCCCCAGGGCTGGTGCCAGCTCGGGCACCTCATATCCACCCCCACCAGAGACATGGACAGGGTCACTGATCCCGCCCCGGATAAACCTCTGCCACCGCCCCTCCTCCCAGCATGTCAGCACAAGGCATGCAGCTACCAGCTGCACTGTGCCAGCATCACCTGCCCATCCCCTTCCCGTACCAGCATCAGCCCTTTGGCACCACTCATCCCCTCTCCATGCCAGTGCTGGGCAGCCAGTCAGCCTCATCCTTTGCCACCCACCTGTTCTGCATTTCCCATTGAATGCCACCCACCATCCTTCTCAGGCCAGTACCTGGCAGTCTGTCCCATACCAGCAGCCAGGCACTTGGGGCCAGGGCTGGGAATTCAGCCCCCTGGTACAGCCACTCCTGGGCAAGGGGAAAGGACGTTGCAGCTCCTTAGTGCCTAGCATCCCCAGCTCGGCGCTTTGATGTATCCAGGCAAACTGCTGACCAGATCACAGACTTCCTGGGGCTGAGAAGGACTCTCCCTGTATGTGGCAGAAAGAGCCCACCACACACACTGCTTGTGGAGCAGGCACAGTGAGTTCTGGAGAACCCCTCACACCATGTTGAACCATGGGTCTTTCAAGGGTGGGCTAAACCAGTCCAGGTCCACAGCATGGAGGGACAGGGGTTGGTAGGACAGGGTGAGCAGCCCTCAGCTATCAGACATTCTGATGGCTACTCCCTGGCTGCAGGAGCCCCTGGACACCTGCCTCCAGCAGGGACTGATCGGGGGACTCCCATTCCAGAAGAGAGAAATGATATTGCAGAGAAGGGAACTGTAGGTCCCAGCTGACAGCACCAGAGGGAGGGCAGGGCAGGCAGAGAGCAGCTGAGGGGAGAGCTCCTGATGGACCCTCAGGATCCTGGCTGGGGGCTTGTCTCGCTCTGCTGCCCTGTGGAGAAGCAAAGGCAAGGGGGTGAGTTCAGGCACCCAGCTCACAGGGTTCCAGAGTAGGTCATTTCCTGCCCCATTCTCACAGAAAAGGGGCAGCACCCTGATGAATAGCCCCAGATTGGGGTGTTTCCCCACCTGCTAGTGCTAGGAAAGAGTTAATGTCACTGCTGAAGGGGCTCAGATCAGGGCATTCCCCCTGCCCCAAAGCAGGCCATGTCCTCCCCCAATACTGGGGTAGCCCCTCCCAGCATTCCCCTCAGAGGCATGGCCTCGGCAGGGCTCCTGCTCTGGATGTGGGGCTGGAGCGGGTACTCACCCCGCAGGGACCGGAGCAGGTTCCGAGTGCAGCCTCCTGACAGGATGTAGGCCCATGCCGCCGTGGCAAACATCAGCAGGTAGGAGGGGATGAGGCTGCCCACGTACAGGGGGTTCCAAAACGTCTGGGAGGAGAGCAGCAAACAGGGTGAGAGCAGGGGAGGAGCCGGGGGAGCCCCAGAGGCAGTTATGCCAGAGCTGGCCTCCCCCCGAGCCCTGGCCTGCTGGCTCAGGCCCCCTCGATGCTCTGATCTCCTTCCCTGACACTCCTGGCTCCGCACCTGGCTGGGGCACGGTGCTCTGAGGGATATGGGGCTGGTGTGCCCAGGGCGCCGGGGTGTCTCGCTGGTCTGCAGCAGGACGGCACTGCCCCATGGAGCTAGTGGGTCCTGCAGACTCCTCTGGAGCATTTGGAGTTTGAGGTTCAGGGGTGTTGCATCTCTCACTCACAGGCTTTAGTACCTGGAGGCTGCCTCTGTCTGTTCACACTCATGCAGGTCTCACAGGTGACTCCCTGGAGCAATGGTCCTGGGGGAACACCCAGTTCTCCTGGGGGCAGGGACTGTCTTTCTGCATGCAGCACCCATCCTGACAGGGCCCACATCCTGAGGGGGCCCTCACACACCTACCAGATAGTAATTCCTGGCCCAGAACCACCCACCCAGTTCCCTGCAGCACTCAGGCAGCGGTGACCCGGTGGTGTGGGAGCAGCCTTCCCAGCCGCCCACATCTTCGGTTTGCCCTGCCCACGCTTACCGATCCTGACACAATGAGGTGAGTGAGGATGACGGCTGCCATCTCCCACCAGTGCTGGGTCTCACAGCCGTGGAAGAAGAGGATTCCCCAGAAGGTGTGAAGGAAAATCATCACCATGGTCATGAAGGCTGTGAGGAGGAGCATAGATGGTCACAGCTAGGCTGGCAAGGCTGTCCACCAAGCAGAGCCCCGGGCAGAGTCAGGGCCGTAGTGGGGTGGGGCACCCATCAACAGAGGATGAGGAGAACTGGCTTTACCTGAGGGGCAGCGTAGGGCACTGATGTGGAGAGCCATGCTGGTGAGGGGATGGGTGGGGTGTGAGCAGGATGTCCGTGATGGGGGCGGCAGTGGGCAGGCAGTTTGAGGGGCTGTGGTAGTGGGGTGCCTTAAGGAGGAGGCAGTGATGAGGGGCAGTGTGGGTGAGAAAAGGGTCGATGGTGGTGTTAGTGGAGACATGGCAGGAGTGGGGGAGCAGACTAGGGTGAGGAAGGGATGGGTTGGGTGCAGTACGGGAGGGGCAGGGGCTGCTACACCTGTTGCTTAACTGAGATCAGGAAGCAAAGCTGCAAACCTCTGTTGTGTGTGTTCCAGTTCCAATTCCAATAGATCTTTTTCGAGATGGGGCAACCACATCTGCAGGTAGTATTCAAGGTGTGGGCGTCCCATGGATTTATATAGCGGCAACATGATATTCTCTGTCTTATTATGTGTCTCTTTCCTAACGATTCCCAATATTCTGTTCACTGTTTTGACTGCCACTGCACTTTGAGCGTATGTTTTCAGAGAACTATCCACAGTGACTCCAAGATCTCCTTCTTGAGTGGTAACAGCTAATTTAGACCCCATCATTTTATATGTATAGTTGGGATGATGTTTTCCAATGTGCATTACTTTGCATTTATCAACATTGAATTTCATCTGCCATTTTGTTGCCCAGTCACCCAGTTTAGTAAGATCCCTTTGTAGCTCTTTGCAGTCTGCTTTGGACTTAACTTTATCTTAAGTAATTTTGCATCATCTGCAAATTTTGCCACCTCACTGTTTACCCCTTTTTCCTGGTCATTTATGAATAAGTTTAATAGGACTGTCCCAGTACAGACCTCTGGAGGACACCACCATTTACGTCTCTCCATTCTGAAAACTGACTATTCCTACCCTTTCCCATCTTTTAACCAGTTACTGATTCCTGAGAGGACCTTCCCTCTTATCCCATGACAGCTTACTTTGCTTAAGAGCCTTTGGTGAGGGACCTTGTCAAAGACTTTCTGAAAATCTGAATACACTATATCCACTGGATCACCTTCATCCACATGCTTGTTGACCCCCTCAAAGAATTCCAGTAGATTGGTGACACAGGATTTCCCTTTACAAAAACCATGTTGACGCTTCTCCAAAAGATCGTGTTCATCTAGGTGTCTTACAATTCTGTTCTTTACTATAGTTTCAACCATTTTGCCCGATACTGGAGTCAGGCTTACCGGCCTGTAATTGAGAGGATCCCCTCCGGAGCCCTTTTTAAAAATACACATCACATTAGCTATCCTCCTGTCATCTGGTACTGAAACTGATGTAAATGATAGGTTACAAACCACAGTTAATAGTTCTGCAATTTCACATTTGAGTTCCTTCAGAACTCTTGGGTGATACCATCTGGTCCTGGTGACTTATTACTATTTAATTTTTCAATTTGTTCCAAAACCTCCTCTAATGACACCTCAATCTGGGACAGTTCCTCAGATTTCTCACCTAAAAAGAATGGCTCAGGCTTGGGAATCTCCCTCACATCCTCAGCTGTAAAAAGACCAATGCAAAGAATTAATTTAGTTTCTCCGCAATTGTTTTATCATCCTTGAGTGCTCCTTTAGCACCTCGATCATCCAGTGACCCCACTGGTTGTTTAGCAGGCTTCCTGCTTCTGATCTACTTAAAGAATTTTTTGTTATTACTTCTTGAGTCTTTTTGCTAGCTGTTCTTCACATTCTTTTTTGGCCTTCCTAATTATATTTTTACACTTCATTTGCCAGAGGTTATGCTCCTTTCTATTTTCCTCATTAGGATTTAACTTCCACTTTTTAAAGGATGCCTTTTTGCCTCTCACTGCTTCTTTTACTTTGTTGTTTAGCCACCGTGGCACTTTTTTGATTCTCTTACTATGTTTTTTAATTTGGGGTGTACATTTAAGTTGAGCCTCTATTATGGTGTCTTTAAAAAGTTTCCATGCAGCTTGCAGGGATTTCACTTTTGGCGCTGTACCCTTTAATTTGTGTTTAACTAACCTCCTCATTTTTGTGTAGTCCCCCTTTCTGAAATTAAATGCTACCATGTTGGGCCACTGTGGTGTTTTCCCTGCCACAGGGATGTTAAATTTAATTATATGATGGTCACTATTACCAGCTATATTCACCTCGTGGAACAGATCCTGTGCTCCACTTAGGACTAAATCAAGAATTGTCTCTCCTCTGGTGGGTTCCAGGACTAGCTGCTCCAAGAAGCAGCCATTTAAGGTGTCAGAAACTTTATCTCAGTATCCTGTCCTGAGGGGACATGTGCCCAGTCAATATGAGGATAGTGGAAATCTCTATTATTGAGTTATTTATTTTAATAGCCTGTTACAAATATACAGGGAAGGGTAACAACCTTTATGTATTCAGTAATATAACATTTCTCCTGGCCAGAGGTTACCTGTAAGAGGTTAAAAAGCTCAAATAACCTAGTTGGCACCTGACCAATGGTGCTTTCAAATCTGGGGGTGAGGAGGCTTTGTTGTGCTCTTTGTTTGTGTGTTCTTTTAAGGAGAGAAAGAAACTAGGTCCCCCCCCAAAAAAACTCTCTTAAGAACCTGCCTAAAAAAGCATCCAAAATTACTAAAACAGTAAGTAAAGCCAGAAAAGGCGTCAGATTATTTTTTGTTTTAGCTTGTGAATTTTCCTTTGCTGGAGGGAGGTTTATTCCTGTTTTGGTAACTTTAAAACTAAGCCTAGAGGGGGATTCTCTGTGTCTTAAATCTTTTTATTTTTCCCTGTAAAATTGCCTTCCATCTTGATTTTACAGGGGTGATTCTTTTACTTTGTTTAATAAAATTCTTCTTTTAAAAGCCTAATTGATTTTCAGTGTTCTAAAGACCCAAAGGTTTGGTCTGTGCTCACCTGTACCAATTGGTGAGGATATTATTCTCAAGCCTCCCCAGGAAAGGGGGGTGTAGGGGCTTAGGGTGATATTTTGGGGGAAATAGGAACTCCAAGTGGTCCTTTCCCTGAACCTTTGTCTAAATCACTTGGTGGTGGCAGCATACCATCCATCCAAGGACAAGGGATTTGTGCCTTGGGGAAGTTTTAACCTAAACTGGTAAAATAAGCTTAGGGCATCTTTCATGCGGGTCCCCACATCTTTACCCCAAAGTTCAGAGTGGGGAGGGAACCCTAACATAGCCTCTCTAATCTCCCTGAGCATTTCACAGTTACTATCACCATCCTGGTCAGTAGTATCTCTCTACTGCTACATTCTTATTATTAGAGCATGGAGTTACTATCCCTAGAGATTCTATAGCACAGTTTGGCAGGTAGATGGTGCAGTGGGCAGATGGTGCAGTGGGTTGTAGGCCCATTGCTCACCCGAGGTCAGGAAGTAGAGCTGTGAGTCTCCATGGATTCCCACAGTGCCAGGCCCCAGGGCATCTGCCAGGAGGTTAATCATGGAGAAGGCGCCACTCATGAGCCCAAAGCCCAGGCCAGCTACTGTGGGACAGAGAAAACACATGTTGCTGAGCCCAGGGACGTCAGAGCCAGAGACTCTCAGAGAGGCTCCCTTGACCTGTCTCCAACCCCCAGAGGCCTCCCCCACAGCCCTGCACAGGGACCCCACAACACTTGCCTCCATTCTGAGGGATCCCTGGTGAGAAATCTCCTTTTCCCAAGAGCCCCCTCCCCTCCTCTATGAGATGCTACCTCCACTCATCCCATATACCCCATCACACAAGCTGGGGTCAGCCCTGCCCCATTGAGGAACATACCATATGCCATCTGCTGGATGGAAATCGGGGAGCAGCCATCTTCGCTGAGGGTCACCAGCCCTTCGACTGCCTTCCTGGACAGAGAAAGGAGAGAGTCCCAGTCACACCCCAGTGTACGGCTGCCCATGATGGGATTACTAGGCTGGTTGATAACAGTAACTGTGTAGACGTACTGTACTTGGATCTTTGCAAGGTGTTTGATTTAGCACCACACGATAGTCTGATTAAAAAATTACCTCTACGCAATACCAATGAAGCATAAATTAAACAGATTTAGAACTGGCTGACAGATCTCAGAAAGGAGTTTTGAGAAAGTAAGAATATTTTGTTATATTTTTATGAGTCCTGTGAGCCCATTTCCCCTATGTGCTGCATCATTGCCAAATGGGTGGAAAAGGGCTATCTGCTCTCAAGGCAGGCAAAGAAACAAAGGAGTGGGTGTCATCGAACTGTCTGGGCTTTAGGCCCCACGTCAATGTAGCATCTGAGAAGACAAGGGCAAATCCAATCCCTCAGACATTAACACCCAGTGACCAAGGCCCCAGAGGGTTTGGATTTCCCACCTCTCAGCAGAGAGGCTGAGAACTTTCCCCAGCTGGAGAATAAAGGACTGGGGAGGTATGAGATGGGGGGGATCAGAGCTGGCAGCTGGGAGGAGCCGGGCTCTCACCTGGAGTCTGACCAAGGAGGTCAGACAGAGACAGACAGAGCTTGAACCAAGGGGTTCTCTACAGCTTGGCTGGGTGCTGGGTTGGCCAGACTGGATGACGCTCTAACTGTCAGTTCTCTGAGCTACTCTAAGCGCTCCCTGTGCTGTGTCCAGGTGACTAATAAAGCCAACTGTTCTGGCAGTGCTGTGTGAGTGTCACTGCAGATGCTGGGTGAGATGCATTAATCCCTGCAGAGTGGACAAGTCTCCATCAGGGTCTGTCTCAGTGTGACTTGCTGAGTAGAGCTCACGGGGTGAAGCAGGGGGGCTACAGGCCCAGAGGTCCAGTCTCAGGAGGTGGTTACACTGGAGAAAGAGTGAGACCCCCTCAGGGGGTCTGGCCCACTGATGGGCTCTTCCCAGAGACTGTTCCATGGCTCTGTGACAGCTGTTAAGAGGGACTCATAACTGAGTGGGGCATTTCTGGTATGGTTCTAAGCCCGATGCCATTCAATTTTTTTTATCAAAGGATCTGGAAGTAAATATAAATATCACTGTCATCAGCAAATTTTATAAGCAAAGACTGGCAGAATGGTAAATAATGACAAGGACAGGGCAGTCACATAGTATAATCTGGATCGCTTGGTAATCTGGGCCCATTCAAACAAAATGCATTTTAATACAGTCATATGGGAATGCACACCATACCTACAGAATGGGGGACTGTATTCTGTAAAGTAGTGAATTAAAAAGGATTAGGAGTCATAGGGGATAAGCAACTGAACTGAGTTCCCAGTACAAACCTAGAATGATATAAAATTAACATGACCCACATTAACCAAATTAAAAACTGGATAACTGATAGAGAATCATCTCTGAACAGGACTATTTCCAGTGGGGTCCCACCAGAATTGGTTCTTGGCCCTATGCTATTTAACCATTTTTCAATGACCTGGAAGAAAACAAAATCATCACTGATAAATTTTGCAGATGACAAAAAAGAATTGGGAGAGTGGTAAATAATGAAGAGGACAGGTCACTGATACAGAGCAATCTAGATCACTTGGTAAACTGGGTGCAAGCAAACAATAGACACATTTTAATATGGCTAAACGTAAATGTATCCATCTAGAACAAGAAATGCAGGCCATACCTACAGAATGGGGGACTTTATCCTGGGAAGCAGTGATGCTTGAAAATATTTGGGGGGCGTGGTGGATAATTAGCTGAACATGAGCTCCGAGTGTGACGTTGTGATCAAAAGGGCTAATGCGATCCTGGGAGGCATGAACAGGGGAATCTCGAGTAGGGGCAGAGAAGTTATTTTGCCTCCGTCTTTGGCATTATTGGAACCACTGCTGGAATCCTGTGTCCAGTTCTGGGGTCCTCAATTAAAAAAAAATGTTGATAAATTACAGAGGGTTCAGAGATGAGCCAGGAGAATGATTAAAGCATCAGAAAACCTGCCATATAGTGATCAACTCCAGGAGCTCAATCTATGTAGCTTAACAAAGAGAAGGTTAAGTGGGGACTTGATTCCAGTCTACAAGCACCTACATAGGGAACAAATATTTATTTAATAATGGGCTCTTCTATTTATCAGAGAAAGGTCTAACTCGATCCAAGGGGTCGAAGTATAAGATAGACAAAGTCAGACTAAGGTACAAATTTTTAACAGTGATGTTAAACAACCATTGGAACAGTTTACCAAGGGCTGTGGTGGTTTCTCCATCACTGACAATTTTTAAATCAAGATGGGATGTTTTTCCTCACAGCTCTGCTCTAGGAATTATTTCAGGGCAGTTCTCTGGCCTGTGCTCTGCAGAAGTTCAGATAGATTCATAGATTCTAAAGAGAAGAGTGGACCACTATGGTCATCTATGTATAAACAAAAAGAAAAGGAGTACTTGTGGCACCTTAGAGACTAACACGGCTGTTCCTCTGAAATATGTATAAACAGGTGATTAGTGAGGAGGAAGTGATTTTAGCTTTTTATACTGCATTGGTTAGGCTGCTACTGCATCCAGTTGTGGGGTTCACATTTTTAAAAGGATGTTGAAAAACTAAACAGGGTGCAGAGAAGAGCCACAAAAATAATCCAAGAGCCGGAAAAATGTTTTACAGCGAGAGACAAAGAAAGACTGAGAGGAAACTAAAGACCCTCACGGGGAGAAAATACCAGGTACTAAAGGGCTCTTTAATCAAGAGGAGAAAGGCAGAAAAGAACCAATGGCTGACAGTAAATGGCTCAGCACAGGAGTGACTGGATGACAGTAGTTGGCCTGTGCTCTGCAGGGGGTCAGACTAATGATGCCTTCTGGCTCAAACACTATGAATCCTGGGTTTTAGGCCTGGCTCTGACACTACCTCGCTGGGCCATGCAGTTTGAGCCCAGGCATGAAAGGGTTTTTGACACCAAATAGGGAGATGCTGTAGTACAGGGTTACTGTGTTTAGAGCCAGCCCTGGCCCCTCACTGCCACCTGGTTTAGGCTTATGAACTTGGCCACATTTAGCAAGATTCCCTGTCCTGGGGTGATCCATCCCCCGTTCTCCCCCCCCCCCCCAGCTTCTGGCAGTCGGAGGCTTAGGGTGACCCATGGGGTTGCATCCCTGACCATCTTGGCTAATAGCCATTGATGGACCTACCCTACTTTTCCAGTTCTTTTTTGAACCCAGTTATAGTTTTGGCCTTCACAACATCCCCTGGCAAGGAGTTCCTCAGGTTGACTCTGCATTGTGTAAAGAAGTACTTCCATATGTTGGTTTTAAACCTGCTGCCTGTTAATTTAATTGGGGGACCCCTGGTTCTTGTGTTACACAATGAGGTAAATAACACTTCCCTATTCATTTTCTCCACATCAGTCATGATTTGATAGACCTCCCTCATCTCCCCCCTTAGTCACCTCTTTTCTAAGCTGTACAGTCCAAATATTTTAAATCTCTCCTGGTACAGAAGCTGTTCCATACCCCTGATCATCTTTGTTGCCATTCTCTGAAGCTTTTCCAGTTCCACTATACCCTTTTTGAGATGGGACCACCAGAACTGCACTCAGTATTCAAGGTGTGGGCAAACCATGGATTTATATAGTGGCATTATGCTATCTACAGTCTTATTTTCTATCCTTTTCTTAATGGCTCCCGACATTCTGTTTGCCCTTTTGGCCTCTGCTGTGCACTGAGCTAAAGAGTTCAGGGAACTACCCACGGTGACTTCAAGCTCTCTCTTTCGTGAGCAGTCACAGCTCGTTTGGACCCCATCCCTGCCTATGTTTAGCTGGTACAGATGTATATCAACCGCGAGCAGGTCACTTCCTTTCACTGTGCCCCTCTTTGTCGGTTTAGACAGTCAGCTCCTTGGGGCAGGGACTGTGTCTCAGGCTGTGTGTAGCACTGAGCACAAGGCCCCATTCTCATAATCCAAAGGAGGCAGATTTGTGGCCTGAGAGGCACCTTTGTCCAGCAGGCGGCATTAATCCTTGGTGCCCTCTGATGCCCTGAAGGTAAATGGGAAATAGCATCATAGAACTGGAAGGGACCTTGAGAGGTCATCTAGTCCAGTCCCCTGCACTCAGGTATTATCTAGACCATCCCTGACAGGTGTTTGTCTGACCTGCTCTTAAAAATCTCCAATGATGGAGATTCCACAACCTCCCTAGGTGATTTATTCCAGTGCTTAACCACTCTGACAGTCAGGAAGTTTTTCCTAATGTCCCACTTGATCAGGTGGTTCTGCAGTTTCTTTGAGAGCGTGTGACAAGCTGTCAGCATAGTCTGTGTGGTATGTAGATTGTAATGGAGTGGAAATCTATCAACTTCATGAAAAACTTGTACAGATACAGACAGACATCATCTTCCTTTCCAAATGCAAACAGATGGACATCATACCAAAAGGACTGAAAGTAAAAAATCCATTACAATCTACATACCACACAGACTATGCTGACAGCTTGCGCCACACGCTCTCAAAGAAACTGCGGAACCACCTGATCAACATCCTCTACAGCAAACAGGGAAAGATTAAGAATGAGCTCTCAAAAATGGATACTCTCATAAAAAAAAACAACCTTCCACACAAACTTCCTCGTGGCTGGATTTTACTAAAACACACACTTTGCTTCTCTACAAAAGAAAAAGGACACTAAATTATCTAAACTACTACATGCCACAAGGGGCCACAGCAATGGTTCCCTTAACCCACCCAGCAATATTGCTAATCCATCCAACTATACTCTTAACCCAGCAGAAGAATCTGTCCTATCTCGGGGCCTCTCCTTCTGCCCCTCCACCCCTACGAACATGATACAGTTCTGTGGTGACCTAGAATCCTATATTCGACGTCTCCGACTCAAGGAATATTTCCAACACACCTCTGAACAACATACTAATCCACAGAGACCTCCCTACCAACACTACAAAAAGGATT